CGATGCTGTACATCGGGAGCCAATTTGCTCAAGGATTGATACTTCGACACGTGGCAGGAGGAGCCGGGGATTGAACCAACAACCTTCCGATTGGGGGACGACCCGCTCTGCTTCTGAGCCACAGCCGCCCTCGTGTCAGCTGTATGAAACTAATCAACAATCATCCTGTGCTATAATGCAAAAAGGTACTTGTTACAGATATTTGTTGTTTTCATATACTAACTAATCAGTCACTAATATGCTGATCTGAAACCAAGACTGACTATACTAACTATGTCATTAAAAGGAGAACAGACTTTTCTGCAAGAATGTTTTATGTGGTTTTAATCTGCAGCTTCATCGGGCAACAAGATGAACACAACAATGGCAAATGTTAGTCTGACTGATCGGATGTGGCCCTCTGGTTGGGCTGACTTTTACGTTTTCCACATTCCACTCTACTTTCCAATTTCTGTTATACTGCTTCAAATGTAAAAAATAAAATAAATTGATGTTCTCATAGTCCTATTTGGCCATGTAGTGGTTGAGGCAGTCGACAGACAGGGCTAGGCGACTTCCTATTTGCAGTAAGGCTGCAACTAATAATTATTTTCATTATCAATTAATCTGTTAATCATTTTCCTGATTAATCGATTAGTTGTTTGGTCCATAAAATGTCAGAAAATTGTGAAAATTGTTGGTAAAAAATAATCATATTTGAGATGCTGAAATTTAAGAAAACAAAAAAAACAAACACTCAAAATGATGTTGTTGTCAATTAATTTAATAGCTGACAACTAATCAATTGACTGCTACTTGTCTCCCCATTTGAAACTGCCTCCTCCACTGAATTTGCATAAAAATATTTACCCTATCTGTTGCTAACAAGTAAGCTATACGGAAAACTTAGACAAACTAGATAGATTTGTAACTAGCTATGCAAAAGAGCTCCATCTCCCTTCTCCCTCTGGCACTTTTTGTAGCAAGGGCAGAATGTTTTTAACTTGTATTAATTTTTAGCTTCATTTCACATCCAATGTGCTAGAGAGGAGACAAAAAAATGTATGTCCTAATATTAATGTCCTAATATTAATGTCATTGTTCAGTTGTTACTTCAGTAGTTTGAATACTGTCCTTTAACTGGATGACCTGAGTTTAAGTCTTATGTCAGCAATAATAACTCGTACAGAAGTAACCTAGAGCAACACACAAAACCTGACTGACCTCTGACCAGAAGAAAATAACATATATTCAATTGCTATCGTGGATTTGATTGATATGAGCAGCTGTGCACCCATTTAGCAGGGTTCAACCATACGTGAGGGGAGGGAGGCTGGGAGAGGCAGAGGGGTAGAGGAGGGAGGGAGTACCTGTCCTGCGTAGAGGGGCTTGTTTGTGGGGTCGCTGTAGTTGAAAAGACACATGTTGATGAAGTGGATGAGCAGGCTCGGAGCGTCCTTGGAGGTGAAGGCGTCATAGGCTGCCCACTTGTAGAAGACCAGCAGAACGAGGTAGCCAAACAAGCTTGCCATGAATACGATCTCTGGGATAAAGCCCAGGAAGATGTTCAGTGGCTTCTTGAAGTACCTGCAGTGCAGTGAAGTCAGTTAGACTGATTTCAGACTGGTTCATTTATTTTCAAAATTACAACAAATGAAATGCAGGGTCCAAAAGAAACAGCCACCACGGACCAAATGAGGGTAAATATTGAATTTGGCAGAAAAATAAATTGGGGTATTCAGCAAGATGGCCAATAAATAATTTGGACTCACAGAACAGGGCTAGGTTTATATTGCTGTGTTTTTTATGTGTACCAGCTGAGACAAATGTGACACCCACTGTCCACCATATCTGACCTAAGGTCAGGAAATCAAATCTATTTGAAACTATTCAAATTCTAAAACTTTTTTATGTAAAATGTGTTATGTTATTAGAGAAGTGGTGACCACAAAGAAAATATTAATAGTAAGAGAAAAGCCAAGGAGATTGACCTTTTTAGCGAGACTTGGCATCTCAATAACGCAGGAGCCCTGACTATTATATGATGCTCAAAAGGTTCAGAAAGGCTCAAAATTTGAGGTAATTATTCTTAATAAAATAATGCATGATGCAGTTTTATTGCTGGTAAAAATATATTTTTGAGGTGTCCGGTTAGCTCAGTCGGTAGAGTTAGTGACCCATATATTGAGGTGCTGCAGCGGCCCAGGGTTAGAATCTGACCTGCGGCCCTTTGCTGCGTGTCACCCGCCCTGTCTATCTCCGGGTGTCTCTATCGAATAAAGGCAATAAAAGAAAATCCTGTATTCCATAATCTTCATTATTCAAACTATGTTGTTTAAAGTGTACCGGCATACAAAACAACAGCGGTAGCAATCATTTCACTTGAGTTTATTTGTAACAAATGAAACTTGTGTCGACAGAGAACAGAAAACCATACAGACCTGTTTTTCGGTTTTCACACGCTCCAAGAACCAATGTAAGAAAATAAAAAGCACTTGTTGACCCGGAGCAGAAAACATAACAAAAAAAAGAAGTTTACATTTACAGACCAATTGGAGGTAACTGATCCAAGTAACACACCATATTTTCGTTTTTATACAATTTATAAACTCCAGTTTTTTCCATCTACATGATACATTGGGGGTAAAATAGAACACTTTTTTTGTGAAACTTCTCTTTGTGGTACAACAAATCCACAATGTGATGTATTGCACAAACTGCTGTGCCATAAACTGTGATTTCAGGTGCATCCTTTTATTATATCACTCTGTATATCTGATAGATTTTTATTCACTCTAAATCACTTATTTATGCATTTCAATTACTCTCTGTGTTTTGTGTTATTTACATATACACAACCATGTGAGCATTGAAGGGTCCGTCTTTACTGAGTTCAAGTAAAACTCCTTTTGGGGGGAGGGGGAGGGGCTTATCGGAGATAATAGGATACTAGTATTAGTGCATAGTACAAAGAGAGAAAGTGCAAGTCTTTCCATAACAGGTACGACCAAAGGGGCATCTCAAAAGTGGTACCATGCATACAAAAAACAACAACAGGGTTACTGTTAGATGGTGGAATACTGTCAATGATCCCTTATATGGTCAAGCGTTAATGGAGATACAAAAAAATTGATATTGTAGGTTCTGTGTTGTTGGAGACGTAGCACCTGAACTTCTTTCAGCCTTTGTCGTTAAAAAGAAAATTAAAATATAACTGTAGACATCAGAATGAAGAACACAGACGACCAGATTGACAGATTTTACGTGAGGAGTTTCAAGTGGGACACAATGAGCGTGTCCGTATGGTTTGTTATCTTGCTTTTTGTCCAAACTGACAAAGATAGCCACTGCTGTTCAGCTTTATATAGATTTCTACATAGCTGAGTAAGTATGACTTGTCTGAGCCAGCTCACAGTCGGTGCCAAAGTTGCTAATGTGGCCAACATTTTATGGCAGGCAAACTGAAGTCTGAATGAAAGAGTATATACACAAAGCTTGTGCAAGTGTCCCAGGAAGAGAAGATGGAAATCTGTCGACATACAAACTTTTTTCTGTCCAAAACGATCAGACCATCCTGCTTACAACCTATTTTAAAACCGCTTTCTTTTTTGTCTGTAGTTGAGTCCTCATGTAAGATTTTTTTCTTTTTGATTAAAAGCGATATGATTATTATGTTGCTGAGTTGAAAAGTGATGAGTAAACTATCCAGCCTACACAGAGCCTTCCATACAAAATTTCACAGCCAAAAAACAGAATCTACATACTTTCACATACTGTAACGTAACAAAATCATATACACAGACATTCAGTTCACACACGTACAAGCATACATACATAAAATACACAAAAACCCTTTAAAGTAACTTTATCAAAATAGGCGTGTAATATAAGGCACTAGAAATCTAAAATCAAAATACTTATTAGATGCTGTTGGAAATATGAGTTTGATCATTCGTTGGTTGTCGTGACACACAAAAGGATGACATCATCTACTGGAGCTGTGACGTGATAAAAGATCGACTTCCTAAAAAGTTTCAGAGGCTTGTTCCTCTGTTTGGACACATTAAATGGTGGGGAGAACCATATCGAGCGTAACATCCTTGTGTCTGGAAAATGATGCACCATCATCAATATCATCGTTGTCATAATGGCGTATAACTGCAGTTAGTGACTTGACACAAAAATATATAATACATCTACTTATTGCACACTGAATCAGACAGAGAGAAAAGTCATAGGTGAGCATTCCAGTGAGAAAATTGTTCCTTTTCCCGACCTCCCCCCCATCCCATCCCACTTTTCTACATCCCTTTCTCGCTCCCTGCTTGAGAAATCTTTGTGAAGCTTATTTGGACACATAAATAGTTGTTTTTTTTTTCTATATTTTGCTTTCTGTGCATACTCTCTGCAGTATTTTATCTGGCTTTCTCTCAACCTGCACATAGAACAACTTGGCAAGATTATTCTTTCTGGTAGCAGCAGGGTGAATACTGTACCTCTGTGGGGCCCCTGGGGGATTCGAAAATGACCGTCCTCTCTGACGGCACAGGCCAGATAGAAATGAAGTTGAGAGTCTTGTGTGCATGCGAAACGTGTGTGTGTGTGGGTAGAGAATACAGAAGAGTGACACTCAATGGTGGTGTTTCTCATAGAGTCGTGAACATTTTCCACACTAGATTTGATTGTACACTTTAAAACAGTACCGTATCACTTTTTAAAAAATCGCTACAGCTCATTGGATTACACAGAAAAAGAAAAAAAACAACAACTTTGTATGGTCAGTGGGGACAAAGTCATAAATCTGTCAAAACAAAAAACAAATCGTGCCACAAGGAATACCCAGTTTTTAAAAAACAAGATACATATCTATATTTTTCTAAAAAACTAAATGAATGTTCTTACTTTGTGGTATGCATTTTAAACCTCTCTCAAATTTCAGTTATCTTAAACCGTGAAGCATAAGGTTGAACTGGTGGTTTTTATTACTGTATGGTAGAAATATCCTCTTTTTCATTCCCAGGAAACGAGAGTCTGTTTCCAAAACAAAACAGAAAAAAAGAAAACACTTCTTGGTGTCTTTTTTTTTTGGGATGTGTGTTCTTTGTCTCTTTAATACTGTGTGCTCTGTGTTTTTCAGTCTCCTGTTGGCAATTCTCTGGTGCTCAAAAGTCCCAGTTCTTTCAATCCACGAGGCTTCCATAAGATGGATTTGTAGACTCCTTCTAGACAGTCCTCAAAATAGAAAAATCAAAATTTCCTGTGACAGCTAAAGACTGTAGCCGGGTCCTGTATTTAGGTTGGTGATGCTACACTGGTGGTGGACGAGGTGAGAGTTCCACACCCAAACAATGTAAAGCAATCTGGGTGCTTACAAAAGCACTGAAACAAATAAAAATCAATATCTGATCAAGTATTCTGATTGGAACAGTGGTTGAAGTTGCTTCTTCAGACTGACCAATGGGTGTGTTTGGGCTAAGGGTGAAAGGAAACACCCTTGTCAAGCAGGTTGCTATGGCTCAGTTAGAGGTGCTGTTTCTGGATACGGGATAAGCCGATGGTCCCCCTTCACTCTGCATGTGGTGGCAAAAAAATCTTCAAAGACACATCGCAGCCTAGTGCATTAATTCAGGTCGCATGTGCCCCAAGAAAAGTGCACTAGGTGGGATGTGGCATGAGAGATGGCCACTGGGTTTATGTTGCATAGTGATCAAAGCTTCCCAGGTACTCCAGACTGGCCCGGTAGCAGAACTGGTACTGGTCCTGAGGGTAGGCAGAAGAATATCAAGTCAGTGAAAGAGAAAACAATGAAACAGAGTGTTAGAGACAGACAGCATGAACTAGAAGGGAGACAGAATAATAACAGTGGGAAAGCTCACCTCTGTCTGAACGGTGGCAGGTCTCTGGGTGCGCAGCATCTTGACAGTCTGGAAGATGTCCACCACTCCTTCGTACCTCATCCTCTCCAGCACGATGCTGAGGGTGATGAACACACCAGTCCTCCCTACTCCCGCACTGTTGGTGGACAGGTGGAAACATAGTTAGAGCTGGATATATTTAGAACAGCAGCATCTGTAGTCATGTATAATAAACGGAAGTGCCGTGTTTACAGTCATATAGAGAAGTTCGTCCTACTGGCCATGCCAGTAGGAGTGACCTAGTTCAGATTTTTTGCTCACACGTGGCAAAGATCAGACCCCGTATGTATTATTAATGTATAAGCAGGAAAAATATAAGTTTGAAATCTTTAACAGAGAGGTGAACGCATGCTAGTATTGCCTCATGAGTAGGGCAGTGACTTTAAGGTTAATAGGTAAAGATCACTGACTCTCCATCCTCAGACTCAGTCTCCAAACTTAACTCTCCAATTTGCCTCTCATTTCACACAGCAAATACGGTGAGCTACATTGCAAGGCACTGGCCTAATCATTGGTATCAAATGGGGTTCAGTGTCTTGCTCAGTGACAACTTGACATCTGCAGGAGGAGGAATCAAACCACCAAGGAGGACCAAAAACTACCTGCAGAGCCAAACTATTCCCACTATTATCTTTGGGTTCTCTGTGACCACTGCAGATGGTTATTTTGATGTTTGTATGATAGACTTTCAACTGAAGTTTGCTTTGAGTGCAAACATTTTCTTTCTTTTTCCAGCTACAAAAAGTAATTACATATATGCAAAAATGCAGAACTGTGTATCAGGACCTGCAGCCAAAATTTAGACTTTTGTGTTGTAAGATTACTGGCAGAAAAATCACCTGTGGTTTTTCAAGTACATACAGTATCTTTGATCAGTGCATATGCCGATGGTACATCTAAATTATAAACACTTGTTTAAGGGGACCCAGCAATCATGTGTACAGAAATTCAAGTGAAAAACTGACAAAAAGTTTCTTGGTAAGGTGTTGGGCCACAACAAGCATCAAGTCTCTGAGCTCTACTGGGGGGATGAACACCAATCTTCAAAAAAATACTTCTTTTGATTTGTTTTAATGATCATGCTGGAGAATTCAAGATGTTTGAGATCTTTTTCTCCACTCATTTATTTAGATTTTTCTTAAATTTGTCACAATGATCAAAATGTATAAACATATAGAGGCGCTAGTGGGAGGAATAGATCTTACCTGCAGTGCACGGTAATTGGCCCATCCTGGCCAAACTGTTCTTTAGTTTTGTGCACCTGGCCAATGAAATCAATGAATCCCTCCCCTGACTTTGGCACTCCTTGCTCTGGCCAATCGGTGAACTGGAACTGACGAACTGTCCGCGATTGGCCGTCCTGTAGGAAGAGAACGTTTAAAAAAAAAAAGATCTTTCATTACAGAAATAATCTTAATTCAGTACAAATGATACACACTCACACATACTCAGGACTCACCCTGGCATCAGTGACTTTGAACTCTCGGAGGATGTACTGCGGCATGTTGTACTCAGCCATGGGATCCACCACAAAGTACTGGTACCTGGCTGAACGCTCTGCAGGCCAGTACTGGTGACACTTCTCCTGCAGGACGACAGCACAGAGGCTTCTGTTCAGAGCTTTACATCACATCTCAGGGAATCAGTGTGTAAGAAGAATGATTTCTGGCTACTTTGTCATGAATATGTCTGCCTGACTTCTGAAATTCATTATTCACTTGAAGATAGTCTTGCGCCAGATGAGATATGATGTTCATGAGATTATGAACATAACTCACACCACTGTCCTCCTCTTTCTCAATCTGTTGCTTGCATTTTTAAATCTTCATATACTGTTTTTAATAGTTCAGACTCATCATTTTCATTTTTTACAGACACTTAACCAAAGTCTCTCGTTATATAACTCAGAGTTTTTGTAACCCAGCATAATAAAAGTATTGCAGCTACTGCCTGCTTCAATAGGACACAGTTTATGACACTTATCAACAGGGTCATCTCCTGGTGAGGACAGCTTAGAATTTGCATTTGATAATAGAAAATCCAGAGACGAATGAGCAAAACATGTAGAAAAACTGCTGATCATGGCACAGTTCAAACAGTCCTTCAGTATAGATTTTTTAAAATTAACTGAAAATAATGCTATATGTATGTATGTATAGTACATTCTGTGATATTGTATGTTACAGTACATGGTTGCATTGAAACCTCTGCTTAGTGCGGGTTTCAAATAATGTTATTGTCTCTTTGTCTTAATTTTCCTTCAGAGCCTTTACACACTTTAATCACATAATATCTTAGTAATGTTTTGCACATGGTTTGTCAGGTTTAAAGATAACAGTACGGAGAGTCCATCTATCAGCGGCTCTGATGCTTACAAACCCTAATACCAGTGGAATTAGAGGTTTGCTTCCCCATAAAGCCACTCCATGCTAACATGTACCCTCCATAGTGCACTTGATTACATTAGTTTGTGTGTGTGGTGTGTTTATTTGAATCCATACCCGTCCCATTTCTCTCAGTTTGGTTAGCATGACAACTATGGTGGAGTTGTGTTCCCACAGCATCCTCCAGTAGTCCTCTGTGGTTTCAGCCAGCGGGCCTTGGGTTGCTATGTAGGCCTTCTGCTGCCTACAAACACAAATACACGAATCAAATGGTGTACACGTACATCCTCTTTATCGGTTTTACTTCAAATGATTTGACATTCTCTGTTAAAACCTTTGAATCTGCATATAGTAACTGAAAGGACTAAACATTCAACTAAATGGCAAACAGTCAGTTTTTCTGACCTGTAACCGTCAATGAAGCTGGCGTTGATATAGTCAGAGCCCTCCACTCCTCTGATTGGTTGCAGACACACACGCGTGGTCTCGTAGGGCATGATGTTCACCAGTCGGTTCTTGAACTTGTTGCATGGCAGGTTGGCACTCACGAACCGTGATGTGTGGGCCTTGGCACTGGCCAGACGCTGGAACAGTAAAGAAATCAATATTTTATAACAAAACATTTACAGATCCTTAGATGGGCCTAAAGAGTAGTGCTGGTAAGAGTAGACAAAACGCAAAGTAAATAGAGGGGAAGGAAGGAAGATGGCGAGTAATGGAAACAAAGAAGGAAGAAAAAATAGAGAGTCAGTTCAGACAAATTCAGCGACCTCATTCAAATGTATTTAGCACAAGCCTTGGTTTTCCTCTGGCATACTGGACAACTGAAATTAGAAAATCAGCTTGACTCGGCAGGCCTGAGGATATTTAGTCAGACATCTTCAATTGAATAAACAAAGGAGGGGTGATGATATAGGGGGACGAGGGCAGCGGTCAGGAATGGGAGAGGGAATATAATAAGATGAATGAGAGGAGGAAGAAGAAAATCAAGAGTCGGGGGGCAGGAAACCACAAGGCCCCACACTGTCTCAACGCACATATGTGAACCACAGTTGATCCAGTGAAAAAAATACACCCAACCTTGGAACACACACATTCATATGGATACGTGCAGACAGGCAGACGTGTACACTTTCTCTAGCACACTCGACCATTGGATGACATGGCTTAAAGCGAAAGACAGAACAACAGAGAATAGGCAGAGGGAAACCGCAGACTCAAGAGGGGAAACAATGGGGTCCCATGAACTGAGCCTCGACCATCGGTGGCTACCGGAGCGCTGTGGGAGAAACAGCGAGTACCTTGTTTTCATACAGACAGACTAAGCTGGAAAATCCCACACTAACCACAAGTTCACCAGTTCATTTGGGTACTCTGAACCCAGTTTCCAGTGCCAACAATAGTAATTCTTTGTGTCATTTGGTTTGAATTTGGTCTTATCAATAAAGTCTGGCGCATAAACCATTTTTTGTTGCTTTGATACATGCTATTATTTGCACCATGTGTTAAGCTTGGATAAAATCATGGCCTGTTGGCAACCTCCTAAAACTCAACCAGTAAACCCTCTGTGAAAGGGAACAAAAACTTTCTTAATAGGGTGTTGGATTACCAAAAGCTGCCAGTACAGCTTCATTTCTTTCTTTTCTCACACGCACGCTTCAACTTTCTGTGTTTTTATTTGAGGGATGCGAGGCTGCTCCTCCGTGAGAAATTCCATCCTTTTGGGTGTTTTGTCGATGAAGGTGGAAAGTGCCGTCCCGTAAGTGTTGGGCTGAGATGAAATCTGGTGACTGGGACAACCCTGGCATATGTTTTACATCAATATAAGGCTGAGCAAACAGTTCAGTGCGCGCTCGGTTCATTGTCATTCTGAGGAGACCGCTGCCATTAGGACAGGAATGCCGGAGCAAAGGATGAAGGAGATTGCTTAGAGTGGCTTTGTGTTTACTTTGCCCTCTGAGCGTCTGAGCAGACATAAACCATTCCAGGAACAATTTAAGCCACCTGCTTTCAATATATACCTGTATGGCTAAAACTTATTCTCTTTTCACCCAGCCAAACCAGACAGGGTCTGTTGAAAACTCGTCTGGGAAGAGGTAAATATCACGGTAAACAAAATAAAAACAGCTAGAATGAAGTGAAAATGAGACTTCTCAATAACACTCTGAATCCCTTATGTACTCACTCTTCTTGCTTGTATACTGAAGCCTATGTTCGGAGTTCTCACTTTGAATTCTGATCGGCTCCATAAATGTTTGAAATCGCCCATGTGACCTTTTTTTCCGAGGGTTTTATTATGAACTGCAACTTTCTGCCCTACATTATTTGGTCTTTCTGAGTATGCCCATCAAACTTCCAAAACTATGATGCTTTCTAAAACCCTCAATAGAACACTCTTACCTTGGATTCAAAAGGTGCAATCCCATAATCCCCTTCAAATCCAACCATCCATCCTGAGTATATGAAACTCTCAGTGGAGGAACCGCTAACAGCCCTGGGAAAGATTCTCAGTGACTATAAAGGTCAGGAATTCAAGGTTCATACGTACTGTATGTCCTTGTGATGAAGGTTGTTCTCAAGCTTTGTTAGAGAGGATTCCTATGAACATCTTCAGCAGCTAATAAATACATCTGTCGGTGTAACTGTTTGAGCCGACTACTGTTTCCAAGGTCATACATTTAATTTGAATCTCAACTTTGAACCTCAGCTTTAGTTAACATGGAGGAGAAGTGGAAGGTTTCACCATCTACAGTTAACGTGATAAATGAGCAAACTTCATCTGCTGATGTAGACAGCGTGCTACTGCCCGAAAGCTCCAGAACAGATTTTAAATGGACTTTGAGGTGAGATTATTTTGTGAACATTGTTGTTGTTTGACGAGGAGCATTCTAGACATTACACAGACATGACACGCAAATTCATTGCTTATGATGGCACTGTGTATTAGTATGGCAAAGATTTGTTGCTCTTGGAAGGTTATTTTAATTCAATTTAATTGACTATGATGCAGTTGCGATTTTATGAGTTTGGGAAGTACAATTCTGGGACCCTTAACCAACCTCCTTTCTCTGTGTTCTTTTGTTCTTTAACTGTACTTGCACCATTAGACATCAAACACTTCGTGGAAACCTCACTACTGGACGTAAAACACATATTTGAGGAAGAATTCAGCATTGGGGGAAATACCCTTATATTCCCTCTAGCAGAGAGTCCAATATGAAGTTGGTGCTAGCAGCTGTAAGAATGGAAAAAGGGAAAGAACTGGCTCTGTAAAATGGTAAATAACTTTGTCTACCAGCACATCCAAAGCTCACTAATTAACATGTAGGCTAATGTGCGGGACTATTTCTTGGCCATGACAAGACCCAAAGATGTCACTGTGGTCAGCCAGAAATAGTCACATAATCCTAGTAAAACCACAACTTGTCACTCTGTTACACTTATGTTTTTGTACAAATGAAACAAAGGAGATATAACATTTTAATTAGTGAACTTAAGAGGTGCTGGAAGGTGGATTTTGGACAGAGTCAGGCTAGCTGTTTCCAACTCTTTCCAGTCTTTCTGCTAACCGGCTCCTGGAACCACCTTCATATTGAATAGACAGACATGGCAGTGGTATAGATCTTCTTGTATAACTCTGCACTTTTCCCACAATGTCAAACCTTTGCTTTGAGTAAGAATACTTCCCTATCTACACAGTTACAATCTTGAGACCTCTACACCTTGATGGAAGATCCAGCCTCACCTCCAGCTCCAAGCCTTCGATGTATTATATAAGAAACAACGTGACCACATGTTGAAGAAAAAGCTGGACCATCTTTACACCAATGTGTCCTGCTGAACTGAGAGGAGGCACTGAATTTCTACAGTACCAAGTTCAGGGATGCTATTGTGTGTCCGACCCTGATGTCTGGCCTTCTGTGTAGCAATGGGCAAGAAAAAGATAACTCACCCTTGCAGAGACCAGTGAAGTGTCTCATTATCATCATAAATCGGTTTTATGAACCATCATAAATCAGTCTGACCTAGTTTCACAACCTTCAAGAACGTGCTGATCAGTCCTCACCTTGAACTCCAGCTCCATGCCGGTGACATTCTCTCCTGGTTCAATCTGCGTCAGCCTCTGAATGTAGGAGTACAGGTTCCTCGCGGGGACCTCTGTGTTCCCGCAGGTCACAGCCTCCAGCAGTGCATCATGAATAAAGATGTACTGGTCCTCCGTCTGGACCATGTAGTTCCTCTGGGAGCGCATCAGCGTGACATGGCCGTAGATGTCAATGGTCTTCTCGTGCTTGATTCGCTCCACCATGGCGTCGATCACGATAAAGCAGCCAGTGCGGCCCACTCCAGCACTGAGCCAAAACAAGAGGAGAGAAAAGAGGAGACAGACCGTGATGTGAGTTTCTCACATAACCTAACCTGGGGTATGAACTGTTGAACAAATAATTTTCCTGAGTGTGTGCTGTGTCTTCAAACCTGGTACAAATCTGGCCCCTGTTGCATATTGCAAAAGCTCTAACATACTGTACCTAAATCAACTAAGTATCACAAAGATGCCAGCCAGCAATATTTCCAACAAAGGACGTAAAAATTGACATCAGCGATGAGTCAGCATCACCGTCTGACTGGCATTAGGAAGATATCCTCTCCTATCGACATACAATCCAGAAATATAATACATTTAGCTGCCCACCCAAACACTTCACATTTCTGCTGCGCTAGTACCTAAATGGTGAAACACCCTGACCAAGCAAGTTTCTGCGAGTGAATAAAAACCTCTTTATATGGTTAAATTAATATCAGTGTGTATGTGTGCGTGCACAGTAACGTGTGCATGTGGTTCAGGTGGAATGAGATTCGGTCCATTGTTTGATACAGAGGCTGGTTGATGTGTTAAGGCACATTATGATGGAGTCTTGCCGGGATAATTAAATTTGACTGATAATCCTGTTAGATACTCCATCTGACTGCTACGGAAGATTAGGAAGAGCTCCTCTCCTGCCAACCTTTTCACCCCCCTCTCGCCCTCATCTCCCTGCCTCTTTATCTTCTCTCTAAGTACCCTTCCAACACTCTCACTCCAGCCAGCCCCACCACTTTTTCACTCTTACATTTGTACGTTTTTTTTAGACTCCATTTTCTCTCCACCTTTCCTTTTCTTTAATTCATCATTTCCATTCACTGCGTCCTGGATTTGACCTCACCTTCTCTCTCATTCAGCACGTATCTCCTCCTCTAACTCCCAGTACCTTGCTAACTCTCCCTCTCAATCATCTCTCAATCCCCTTTTCTCCCCTTCCCTCTCTCTCTTCCACATCTATACCTCACTAATTCTTCCTCCCGAGAGCTTCTGCTCCATATTCCCTCTGCTACCCTCTATCTTCTTCTCTCCTTCACTCCCTCGTAAGAGCAAATAGCAGCTGCATTCCAGCTTGGGCGCCCAACACTGTGCCAAGACTTTAATGACAAGTTTCCAGAATCTTCCTCCAACCAACGCATGAGCCTCCTGCTGCTCAGACAGCAACTCATTTGAATATAAACTTATGAACTCAGATCTACCACCAGTTTAAACGGTAAATGGTTAACACTGAAAGCTACTTATGGAAAATAGGGTCAGCATGGTGGCTGCTGTTGTTGTTAAACCTTAGAGATGATGGAGGTTGTTATGAAAGGAATGTGGGTGTCTAAGCCAGTAAGGATGGTTTGGGGTTTGCATAATGGCAGGTCAATCTCATTTCAGTTCAGGACCTATGAATGATTTTATATAGTGCTCTTGGACTCGTGTTGATTTTCACAGACTCCCAGGCTTTTGAAAATCATGATGCCAAGTAAAACCCAAAATAACACATAAGTGTTTCATGCAAGCACACACACACACAC